AGCCTTGGATTTTGAACTTTACTAAGAACCCCCAAACAGTACATTTCTACTCTCAAACTCTTCTCTCCAAAATCTACTGATGAAATTGAGACGGTTGTATTTCTCCTGAACATTTACAATAGTTGTTCTTGAGTGACAGAAAGAGTATAAGAGACAGTCAGTGGATTCAAGCCACCATGTGGGGGGTGTTAGAATGTGGGCAATGAGGTAGAGAATAAGAGGAAAGGTCTTAAGTACTTGGATTCTAAATGACAATAATTTTGCTATCAGCAATTTTCCCAGAGACAGGTCTCAAGATTAAGCAATTAAACATTCAAAATAACTTCATATGTTCCTTTATTTTAAATATAGTAGACTCCTTTTTTTTTTTTTGTACCAGGGATTGAACCCAGGGGAGCTTAACCACTGAGCCACAACCTGGCCCTTTTTATATTTTATTTAGAGACAGGTTCTTGCTAAGTTGCTGAGGCTGGTTTTGAACTTTTGATCCTCCTGCCTCAGCTTCCCAAGCCGCTGGGATTACAGGTGTGTGCTACTGTGCCCAGCACAGACTACTATTTTAATTTTTTATTTGTTCTACTTAGTTGTGCAAGACAGCAGAATGCATTTCAATTCATCCTACACAAATGGAGTGCAACATTTCAATTCTCTGGTTGTACACGGTGTAGAGATGCACCATTAGTGCAATCATACATGTACTAGGTTAATGATGTCCATCTCATCCCACCATCTTCCTATCCTCATAATGCCTCCCCACTCTCCTTTGCCCAATCCAAAGTTCCTCCATTCTTCCCATGGCACCCCCCCGCCCATCAGAGATCAGCATCCACTAATCAGAGAAAACATTCAGCCTTTAGTTGTTTGAGATTGGCTTATTCACTTAGCATTATATTCTCCAACTCCATCCATTTACCTGCAAATGCCATGATTTTATTCTCTCTTAATGCCGAGTAATATTCCATTGTGTATATATACACAGTTTCTTTTTCCATTCATCTATTGAAGGGCATCTAGGTTGCTTCCACAGTTTAACTATTGTGAGGTGAGCTGATATAAACATTGATGTGGCTACGTCACTATAGTATACTGATTTTAAGTCCTCTTTGGGTATAGACCAAGGAGTGGGATAGCTGGGTCAAACAATGGTTCCATTTCCAGTTTTCTGAGGAATCTCCACACTGCTTTCCAAAGTGGTTGCATCAATTTGCAGTCCTATCAGCAATGTAAGAGTGTACATTTCCCCCCACATCCTCATCAACATTTATTATTGCTTGTATTCTTGATAACTGCCATTCTGACTGAAGTGAGATGAAATCACAGAGTAGTTTTTATTTGTGTTTCTCTGATTGCTAAAGATGTTGAACACTTTTTCATATATTTGTTGATCTTTTGTATATCTCTTATGAGAAGTTAGACTACTATTTTAAAGACAAGTTTTAACAAGTAGAAAAAAAGATTCTGAATTTCATTTTCAACACTTTATACAACTGTGGTTTCAATGAAAAAATTGAAATTTGTTTACTTTTGAATAGTGAAATAAAGTAATGACAGTATTTAAATGGAAAAGAATACCAATTTTCCTAAAATATATTTGAATATAATCTTTGGGAAAATTTTAAGAAGCATGAAATAGACTGTAACTTTTAAAGTATTAAATAGAAAAGGATAATAGTAACTGCAAAGAACAATATATTGAATTCTGTTGTAAAAAAGAAACTACATCTGGGGTTGGCTCAGTTGGTAGAGCATTTGCCTTGCATGTGTGAGGCACTGGGTTCGATCCTCAGCACATAAAAACAAATAAATAAAATGAAGGTATTGTGTCTGTCTACAACTAAAAAAAAAAAGATTAAAAAAGAAAAAGAAGAAACTATAAACCTACACGGTGGTGTGCCAGTTATCCCAGTGATTTGGGAAGCTGAGGCAGGAGGACTGCAAGTTAGAAGCCAGCCTTGGGGATTGAACCCAAAGGCTCTTACCACTGAGCTACATTCCCAGCTGTTTTATTTAATTAATTTGTTGAAATAGGGTCTTCCTAAATTGCTGATGCTGGCCTCAAACCTGTGATCCTGACTCAGCCTCCCGAGTCACTGGGATTACAAGCATGCCTGGTCAGCCTTGGCAACTTAGTGAGACCCTTAACAACTTAGTGAGACCCTGTTTCAAAACAAAAAATAAAAAAGACTGGAGATATAGATCAGTGATAAAGTGCTCAGTGGGTTCAATGTCCAGGACCAAAAAGAAAAAGAGCTACAATTATTAAATAATTCTCAGATTTTCTAGTAGTACATTCCTTGGGAATCCTTTGGGACTTTAGAAAGACTATAGAGTACCATTCAGTGCCTTAAAGTAATGATTCAATAAAGTAACACTGCTAAATAGGATTTAAAGTTCTAGGACATAGGCTAAATGTGAATGTTTTTGAGGTTCGATGCATTGAAACCAGGGACACTTAACTACTGAGCCACATCTGTAGCTGCTCCCACTGACTTTTTTTTTTTTTTGCCTCAAATCATATCTGAATATAGGAAGAGCAGACATTTTAATGTAATATAAATAATTATGGTTCCACAACTTTTAAATCAATTCCAACTATCTTTACATTTCAAGTTTCTAATGGAACTTCCTTTCACAGTCTGACTCTTTCCTCAGATACTTCCATCTATAGGAACAGAGATCCTATCAGAGATGCCATCTACACTGCCTTTTTTTTTGGGGGGGGGGGGTTATACCAGCAATTGAACCTAGAGGTGCTTAACCACTGGACCACATCCCCAGTCCTTTTTATTTTTTGAGACAGAGTCTCTCTAAGTTACTTAGGGCCTTGCTTAATTGCCAAGAATGGCTTTGAACTTGTGATCCACCTACCTCAGCCTCCCAAACTGTGGGGATTATAGGCTTAAGACACCAGGCCTGGCCACACAGTCTTTTCACATTTTCCTAGATTTTTTTTTCTTTTTAACTGTAAAGCACTTTGTGGTTGTTTTGTTTTTTTCTAATTATAAAAGCACTTTAGCAATAATCTGAAAGTTTCAAAAGGTAAGCAAAAGAAAGTAAAAATCAAACTATGATGCTTTCACATGGAAATTCTATTTACACATAACATACAGATAAACAGGCTTTTAACTAATTAGGTTCATAATTTACATAGAGGCTAGCAAATTATTTTTCCTCTACTTAACAATATGTAGCCTAACTGGCCAATCAGCAAATTAAGTTTCATTTTATGCAAAGTCAATGCATTGGGCTAAATAGAGACCTTCAAAAAAACAATGTCCAAATTATAATCCCTAGTCTGTGACTTTATCTGGAAAAAGGGTCTTTGAAGGTATAATTAAGTTATAGATTTTCAGATGAGATCATTCTGGATTAACTCTATGACGAGCATCCTCATATAAGTAAAAAGAGAGAAAACAGAGGTAAAGGTGGTATGAAGACAAAGATAGAGACTAGAGCTATGCAGCTATGGTCAAGGAATGCCTTGGACTACCAGAGACTGAAAGAAGAAGAAAGGATTCTTTTCTAGTGCCTTCAGAGGGAATATGGCTCTGTGGACACCTTGGTTTTAGACTTTTAACCTCCAGAACTGTAAGAAAAAAGAATTTCTGGCATTTTGTTATTACAGCTCCAGCAAACTATTAACAGTCAGCACTCCAAAGTTTCCTATGAAACTTTGTTCTCCAGCCTTACTTTCTCATTTTTAGCTCTATGCCTTTCCTTTCATTCCCTATATTGCCTCAGGTACTTTGCACATGGTGTTCCAATGCACCAACTGATCTTCTCCATTCAATTCTCTCTTCAGGGAAAAGTTAAGTGATTTTCTAGCCCTGCTCATCACCATAAGGTTCCCTCTCAGTAGCATATAGTTCTTTTCAATAGTCCTTATTGTAGTTGGTATCTTTACCAGTGTATCAGATTCTATCGTCTTCGGGGCTGGCCGAATAGCTCAGTGATAGAATGCTAACAAAAGTAAGCCTCTGGGTTCAGTTCTCCAGCACAGCAAAATTAATTGATTTAAAAACAAAAAATTTCTCTACCAGATTGTAAGCTTCATGAAAAGGAACCCTGCCTCCCCTCCCCACCATTATATTCCTAGTCTAGTCTTGTGCCAACTGTGGCATAACAATCCTTTTTGAATAAATAATCACTTTCCAGAAGCATCACAGACCTTGGGAGCTTCTATCCTACAACAGGGTAATAATTGTGAATTACCTGGTGGCCATCCCACAATAGAAGCAAACAAAAAGGCAAGAGGAAAACTAGAAGGGGATGGGCTACAACATTTTGAAGAATGGGGAGAGTATCATTTAAATCTGTTTAACTGTTACTGCATCAACTGCTTTTTTTCTACAGTGTATGCGTTTGTTCCACGTCCCCCTCTCTACAATGTAATCTCTGAGACTTCCACTGCTAGGTTATTGCTCTATCCCACACCTACAATAGTTCCTGCTGCATAACAGGCTCTCAAACATCTGAATAAATGTTCTCAAAGCTGAATATAACGCCCTAAGAGAATAATGGATCAAAACGCTAAGCGGGGATGGAGGAGCTACCTCCCTCCCTCCCCCTGAAGATACCTCGAAAACCTGAGGGCCAAGAGGCCTAACAACTGCTCAGGTTTGGGCCTGAGAATATTGCAACCAAGGCCCCAGCGGCGGCGACGCTGACTCTCACCTCCACTACCGCCTTCCTCTCTCGGGATCCTCTCCAAGCCCGGGCTCGCCACCTCGGCCCCCAGACCCCCTACCTCCTAGCACAGCCCCGTCGCCCCCTCCCCAATCTTCTGGGACTCCGCGGGCCTCGGGCCGTCCCGGCTCCCCTCGGCCCTCGGGACCCCCGCCCCCTACCCGGGATCCCCGGCCCGCGGCCCCCGCCCCGCGCTGTCCGTGCGGACAGGCTCGCGCCGCACAGCGCCCTCTCCGCGCCGGCCTCTGCGGCTGCGCGCTGGCGGGGCCGAGGCCGAGGGGAGGGGGTCGCGCCGGGGGCCGTCGGAGCTGCTGTGGCAGCGGCGGCAGCGAGAGAACGAGCGGGCCCAGTGGCCGCGGGCAGACCGGAGGGAACGTAGGAAGCGGTCATGTCTCGCTACACGAGGCCCCCCAACACCTCCCTGTTCGTCAGGAACGTCGCGGACGCCACCAGGTGAGCGGCGGCGGCCGCAGGTTGGGGACGCGGGGGAGGGGCGGGGTAACGGCCGCGCCGCGGTGCGGGGCAGAGGCCCGGCGGGCGTGCCCGGAGCCTGCTCGCGGGCCCTTCCTGCGCTAGCCGAGCTGCCTGCCAGGCGGCGGCGTGAGCCCCGGGCTACGCGGGGCCTGGGCGGGACTCGCGCCTCCGCCTCCCCGCGGGCGTTCCGCCCTGGCGCGGCGCACTCTCGGCCCGCTGCGTTTTACGCGTCTCCGCACCGCACCCGGCCGTCAGAGCATCGCAGGGGGCGCCTCCCCGGTAGCCGTGTCCCTTTCCGCCTCTAGCCCAGAGTGTTTTCCCCCGGCGGGTGCCTGCGTTTCAGCCTCTTTGTCGTCGTGCCCGCGTACAGCCGCGCGCCCACCCCTCCTAGAAGAAGAGGAATTGGGGATGATTGAGAACGTATCATAAAATAATAATGCGTACCTTGGGCCTTACAATTTCCGTCACCCCAGTTCTGGTCTACATACAGATAGTGCTTATGGCTAAATTATATCCTTTACACAGCTTTACACTATATACTAAAGATGACTCCAGTGAATGAGGTTTACATCTTTTTCATTTAAAGTTCTGAGGTTAGTATTAACACCCTTTATAACGATTTGGATGGACTTAATTGTTGATGCTCTGAGTCCTCCTCGTTTTCTCCATCCCCCTTTGAGAATTTTTGTCTAGTGTCCAGACATAAATCTTAAGAAATGACTTCCCCCCCCCCCTTCTGAATGACTTATCATGAAACACTTTTCCCTCTAATAGGAGCCAGAAGGAATTGGCGGGGAGGGCGGGTTAGACAACATAGACATTTTATTGCATTGGATCACCCCCATTTTTCTAGTTATGCAATATTATCTTGTACATAAGGGACAACTGAAACAGTTGTAATGACTGACTTGAGGGCTAGACAGCCACAAATATAGAGCGGTCTTGACTTCCTAGTCATCTGGAGTAATAGTAATTTACCTCTGAGAAGTAAATGTTAAGTAGTTTTAAAATTTGTCACAACTATAGACTTTTGATTGAATATATCTTAGTTAACATCCTAAAAGATGTCTGTGTTTACATTTCTCTCCATCTGTTTATTCATACATTACATAGAAAGGCAAATTTTGTGAGGCAAGGTAAAAAGCATTACAGATTAAATAGCCCACTTAAAACCTGAATAAGCGCTGGGGCTGTAGCTCAGTGGTACAGCACCTGCCTCACACATGTGAGGCACTGGGTTCCATTCTCAGCACCACATAGAAATAAATAAAGATTTGGTGTCCATATACAACTAAAAAAAAAAAAAAAAAAAACAAACCTGAATAAGCCTCAAGTCTCTCTAGCATATTTGCAAAACTAACAAACGAAATCAACCGACCAACTAACCAAAGAAACCCCAGAGATTTCCAGTTGGAATGACTACAGGAACCAATCAGTTAATATAAATGAGTGAAACCATCAGGTTAAAAGGCACAACAGAATGGTGTAAGCAAATGAAAAAGGACATGTGCCATCTAAAGGGAACAACATCTGCTACTGAACTCCAGCTGATAGATGCCCTGTAGACATTTGGACTCCTTGTTGTCACATCTAATATTCAAGAGAAATCAGAAATCTAGATTTTGTCAGGCACAACGGGGCAAGCCTGTAATCCCAATAACTCTGGAGGCTGAGGCAAGAGGATTGCAAATTCAAGGACAGCCTTTTTAAAATAATTTAAGGGCTAGGGAGGCAGCTCAGTGATAAAGAGCTTGCCAAGCATGCATCTGTCCCTGGGTTCAATCCCCAGCACCACAAAGAGGAGAACAAAAAATTCTAAATAAAACACATCTACATGTGACAACTAACTTCTGGTCTAGGTAATCCACCATCAAATATTGAAATTGATATTTCAGATTTACTGATTTCCTTTTTCATTCTTTCACTGCAATTTAGCACTGCTACTGGGTAGGCAATCACAATCTCGGAGATTATATTGTATTAATGAAATAATAATTGCTAATATTTGTTAAGTATTTGCTGTGTGCTATACTAAAAACTTAACATATTATTAAATTTTTGTATTAATCTTGTATGTTTTTTATGACCACACTTATAGAGATTAAGTATCTTGCCTAAAAGTACATAGCTGGTGAGTTGTGTTAAGACAGTCAAGTCATTACATCTAACCTACAATAACCTTTTTGTGCAAGTGGTAAATAGTGTAAATTAACTAGTATTGTGACACCTGGACATATTTTAAGTTAACTTTATCTTTTAGTATTAGCTATAAATAAAATAATTGGAATAAAATTTTTAAACAGGGTGTAAAATTTTATATGCAGTATGATTTCAGTTAAAGGGAAAACTATAGAAAATACGACTTGAAAAAAATTGATTTGGTTGGTAAGAATTAGTTGATTTTTCCTATTTTTAAGTATTTTTCAATTTTCACTTATTAAGAATATTTTAGGATTTCTTGTTTGTTTTTGGTACGAGGCATAAAACCCAGAGATATTCTACCACTGAGCCACATCCCCATTCTTTTTATTTTTTATTTTGAGACAGGGTCTCAGTAAGTTGCCTCAGACCTTGCTAAATACCTGAAGCTGGCTTTGAACTTGTGATCCTCCGGCCTCAAGTTGCTGCAAGTAGCCATTTTAATACAAACTATAAAGCACAGGACATTAAAAGATATTGTGAGTCGTATATACCTAAAAAGAAAAAAAAATATTGTGGGTTAGTGTAAAATTTAATAGGAGCGACACTGAACGCGATAATTGTTAGAGATTTTTAAAATAAGTTTTAAATTTTGAGTTAGGTTTCTTTCAGGTGTGAAACAAAATGTGGATCAAGAAAAATACTAACTTTGGTAATATCTTTGTTTATTATGTCGAGGAATAGTTTTTAAATGGTAAATATAATATCCTAATTAATGTAACAAAGTAATAATATTCAAATCTCAAATGTAGCATTCCCATATTGATGTGTAATATCATATTGGGTTGGGGAGCAACAATCAAGTTGCTCTGGAACTGTTTAAAGGCATTCTTTGGTTACAGTATATGAGACTGTATATTTTGATAGAAAAAGCATTAAAGAAAACATTTATGATAAAAAGGCCTAGCAGATTGGAATAAAAGGGGACTTCCTAAGTCTAGCAAATGGCACCTATGAAAAACCTATAGCTCGGGCTAAGGTTGTGGCTCAGCGGTGGAGCGCTCGCCTAGCCTAGGATAGCACGTGTACCACATAAAAATAAATAAATAAATAAAATAAAGGTATTGTGTCCAACTACAAATATATATATATATGTGTGTGTGTGTATGTATATATATATATACATATATATACACATATATATGTATATATATCTTCACTTAATACTGGAAGACTGAATGAATGCTTTACAAATATATATATATATATATATATGTGTGTGTATATATATATATATACACACACACATACACACACAATATATATATACATATTGTGTCCAACTACAAATATATATATGTGTATATATATACACATATATATGTATATATATCTTCCACTTAATAGTGGAAGACTGAATGAATGCTTTTCCTCTCAGCAGGAACAAGATAAGGGTGCCCACTCTCACTATCTCCATTCAACATTTTATTGCAGGTCCTAACCAGTGTTTGTTGCAAGAAAAGAAATGAAAACCATAAAAATTGGAAAGGTAGAAGTAAAACCAGTCCCTATTCATAGGTAACAAGTTTTTTCTTTTTTTTTACATAGAAAATACCATAAAATCAACAGTAACTACTATAACTAATAAATAAGTTACCCGAATACAAATTAAACTTATAAAAACTTTATTTCTATATATTAACAACAAGCAGTTGAAAATAGTGAAAAAAAAAAAAATTCCCATTACCCTAGTTTCAAAAAGTATACTCAGTAACCTCTGCCTATAATTCCAGCAACTTGGGAGGCTGAGGCAGCCTCTGCAACTTAGTGAGTCCCTAAACAACTTATCAAGGCTCTGTCTCAAGATAAAGTCCAAAAAAAGGATTGGGCATGTAGCTCAGTGGTTAAAGACCCCTATGTTCAATCCTCAGTCCCCCTCCAAAAAATGTATATTTAGGAGATGGGCCTGTAATTTCAACTACTTGGGAGACTGAGCTGGGAGGAACACAAGTTCAAGTCCAGCCTGGGTAACATAGCATGTGAGACCCCATCTCAAAACACAATAGTAAACTTAGGAATAAATTTAACAATAACAATAAAATATAAATAAATAAAATCCTTTCCACTGAAAATGCAACATATTACTAAGAAAAAAATTTAAAACCTTCAGTAAATTGGTAGGTATACCATATTCATCCATTGTAAGACAAATTATTCCTAGTTCTCTTCCAGATGATCAATCAGTTCAAGGTAGTCCTGATCAAAGGATTAAAAAAAAAAAAACAGAAACTGACATGTTAATTTTAAATATAGATTTGTAGGCAAAGGATCTAGAGTAGTTGAGTGCAGTGGCACTTGCCTATAATCCCAGTGACTGAGAAAGTTGAGACAGAAGGATTGTAAGTCCGAGACTAGCCTGGACAACTTAGTAAGACCCTGTCTCATAATAATAAAAAAAGGTCTGAGGATGTAGCTCAATGGTAAAGCACCCCTTGGTTCAATCCCCAGTATGAAACACACTCACACAGGACTATAGTAGCAGTAATGAAAATGTTATATTGGCCTAACAGTAGACAAATAGTCAGTAGGACAGAATGGAATATAAGTCTTTAAATAATCCACACTTATAGAGTTAATTGCTTTTTGTTTTCCTTTAGTGGTACTGCGGATTGAACCCAAAGCCTCATGCATGCTAGCCATGCACTCTGCCACTGGGGTATATCACCAGGCCAGAGTTAATTGATATTTGACAAGGATAAGAAAGTGATCCAGTGGAGAAAGAAAAGTTTTCAACAAATACTGTGCAGGAGCAACTGGATATCCATATGGGGAAAAAAATG